CTCTGAAGCAACCCCAACAATAACATCTCAAAGATTTGATCATTTAGAAATGCCAAACTGGGGCACCAGAGGTAAATGAAAATGAAAATTCAGAGACGAGTAATGTTCATACTCAAATCCAAAATCAAGAAGAAGTTGCAAATATTGAGATTGAGGGGACTAAAATGAATAATGAGGAGAATCAGAGCTTGGCAGAACAGAGCAAATAGAATGTAGAACACCCCATGATTACCAGAAGTAAAGCTGGCATTTTCAAACCAAAAGCCTACTCAACTCAATGTAAGATGGAGCATACCGGACTTGAACCAAATGATGTGTTTGAGGCCTTGGAAAATAAAGACTGGAAAAATGCAATGGAGGATGAATATAGAGCCTTGTAGAATAATAAAACCTGGAAACTTGTACCACCTGTTCATCAACCAGAAGGTAATAGGAAATAAGTGGGTGTTTAGAATCAAACGAAATGTTGGAGGAAAGGTGCTGAAGTACAAGGCAAGACTTGTTGCAAAAGAATTTCTACAAACTTCAGGAGTTGATTATCATGAAACTTTCAGTCCAGTAATTAAAGCCTCAACTCTGAGAATAATCCTTACACTTGCAATCTCAAATAATTGGAGTGTTAGGCAGGTAGTCATCAACAATGCTTTCTTGAATGGAAAGCTAAATGAAGAGGTCTATATGAGTCAGCTAGAAGGTTTTGTTGATAAAAACAATCCTAACCGTGTGTGTAAACTTGAAAAGGCGCTTTATAGACTCAAGCAGGCACCTAGGGCATGGTATGAAAGATTGAAGAAAACACTTCTAGAATGGAAGTTCACGAAATCAAAGGCAGACAACTCCTTGTTCTTTTACATGAATCGGAGGCAAGTGATTTTTGCCTTAGTATATGTTGATGATATAGTGATTACCGGCAATGATAACAAGTTGTTGCAAAGCTTCATCAACAACTTAAATGCACAGTTTGCACTAAAGGACATGGGTGAGCTACATCAGTTTCTAGGAATTGAAGTAAGAAAGGATAAATTTGGTATGCACCTCAGTCAGGTTAAGTACATAAAGGACTTGTTGAAAAGATTCAACCTTGAGCATCTTAAACCTTGTACAATACCTATGACAGTAGGTAAGTATATTTCTAAAAATGAAGGTGAAAAGATGGCTGATTCTTCCTTGTATAGAAGTACAGTTGGAGGACTACAGTATCTGGCACATACAAGGCCTGATATATCCTTTGCAGTGAACAAATTAAATCAGTTTCTACAAATTCCTTCAGATGTACATTGGAAAGTAGTGAAAAGAGTTTTCAGATATCTAAAAGGGACAATTGATCATGGTTTATGGATTCAAAGAAATGACAGAATAAACATCACTGGTTTTGCTGATGCAAATTAGGCTTCATGCCCTGATGACAGGAGGTCAACAGTTGGGTATTGTGTGTATTTGGGAGACACTTTAGTTGCCTGTTCTTCAAAGAAATAGCAGGTTGTAGCGAGATCAAGCACAGAATCAGAATACAGGGCTTTAGCTCAAACTGCTGTAGAGATAACCTGGATTGAATCATTGCTTAAGGAAATCAATTTGCATCCTGTTTCACCTCCTACATTGTGGTATGATAATCTCAATGCTAGTGCCTTGGCTTCTAATCCTGTCTATCATGCACGAACTAAACACATTGAGTTGGATATACATTTTGTCAGAGGCAAAGTTCTTGAAGGGAAGCTAAATATACAATATATTCCATCATCAGACCAAATTGCAGATTTGCTAACTAAGCCCTTTGCTCAAACCAGATTTTTATTTCTCAAAGACAAACTTGGAGTAAAAGAATAAACTCCAGCTTGAGGGAGGATGTTGAAATATATTTGCACTTGACAGACCATTAGTTGCTAACGTGCACCCTTGGGGCCACCAATAAGTTGTTATAACTGTTTTGATTCTTATGGTTACATCACGTGGTTAAAATTTTTGTTGCTTATTTACTACTCCAAGAACTTGTATATATATACTGATCTTTGTATACTATCATATACCGAATTCAAGAAAATAACAATTCTCTGATTATCATTTCGATTACTGCGTCTTCAGTTTTTGTTACAACAAACTATCAGTACAAAACCACAGAAATAAACAAGAAAGATTACAAGAAAAATGAGGCAGAAAATGAAATCCTCCAGTCATTCACAGAGAACTCAAACCACACGGCATCAAGATGAAGTTCCTTTCTAGAATAGGGCTCAGACTCAAGAAAATACAGGATTGTACCCTTCTGTATGACCCACACCGATCGCCCCAAACCCTAAGGTTTTCCTCTATCAGTTAAAGGAAACCACAAGGGGTAAAATCACACACCAAACTCTCCAATACACACAGTATTATGTATCACAAAGACGGAATCACATAGAAACCAGATCCAATCAGAGATTGGATTCTCACGAAGAAGAAGAGAGGGTATGGAAGACTCTCGAACCTCAGTCGCAGCTGGAGAAAAGGGAAAATGACGGTCCAAGTGAATTAGGGCAAAAGGGGCCAAGTATATATATACAACCAAAAACACCCTTAGATCAAATTTAATCTGATGGTCAGGAGGCATCCATATAACTGAAGAAAGGCGTGTTTGGCTGCATTAAAATATGCCACGCCAAAACACGTTTTATCTACCATTGGGCCGGGGCGGATCGGGTCATGTTATTGGGCAAGAGCCTGAATTGTTAAAACAGTTATTGGGCTTTAGCCCATTTGTCATCACAGCCCAGAAAAGATCATTGGTCATCACAGCCCAACAGTTTTCTTATTTATTTTATCTAATATTATCAATTTTAAACATTTTTGTGTTTTAAGAATATGAGAAAAATATTGACTATATGATTCAAAAAGTACAAATAATGCTTGTATGATAACTTTTATTATCTTTATCATATACGTGTTGTGTTTTTGTTTGAACTTTTAACATGGTCATGACCCATTGGTTGAACTACTAATCCCTTGGCTTGATTTGTTAATCGGGTCAATCGCACCAGGTCAGGTCTGGTAATTATGCTATTAGTTGCTCAAATTATAGCAAAGTATTGTGTTAGTTACTTTTATTATTCTGTTTGATAGGTGGTTACTGAAATTTGCCTTTCGTTAAGTTACTTTTATTAAATCTTTCTTATGGAGTTTAACATCAAAAACAGTAATCTGGCGTGGCATCAAGAATTCCAAGTCAGACGTTCTGGTGGAAAAACAAGTGGATTTACTTTACTGATCACTATGCCCGAAAAGCATTGTGTTTGCTAGATAGCGTAGAAGCAGCATACCGTATTGCTTTGAGGGTCGACGGACCTATTGGTTGGTTCAGTCTGGTTTTATCGCCTCTTACCGCACCCACAGAGAGAGAGAGAGAGTACACCTCGAATTCAATGAAATTACTTGCGCAGTCCTGTTTTGTTTATGAATGAAAATAGTCATATTTCAATGTACTTGTTCTATGCATGTAAGTCGGTTTATGATGAAATGCAGGAATCAAGAGGATCGCTTGCCAAAAATCCGCCTCCAGATTACTTCTTATAGAGCTGAAGTTGGGAAGATTTACTACTTTTCTAATCTATATTTATTGGGTTGATGAAAGTGAAAACATATAGTTGCATGGTGAAATGCCGTCTTCAAGTGCAGGCAAGTTTGGGATTTCGACTCACAGTGACGAGCTCCTCAGATGAGTAGAAAGAACGGCATTATGTGTTCACGACATATCATGCCGGGGACCCAAAAATCAATTTGAAATCTCATTTTTCTTGGTGGTTCGTGTTTCTATCTTTTGTGTTCTTGTGACAGTGTTGTGTTACTTGTATGCCAAAGAACACTTGTACATACAAAATTACCTCACTTCCATACCATGTGCAGGGTACGCGAAAACCTTTTTATTTTTGGTTGCGATAATAGCAAAAGTTATATAGAGACCCTCCAGAAGAAACCAGCTTGATTTGCTATGTTCTTGTAATGATTTACTATTGTTCTCTTCCTTTGTGCTAGCAATTCCCTTCATTAAGCCATTATCCCCAAAAACCTTTTGGATTTATTTTGTTGAGTAATACGGAAAAGGTTGAGGAAATCCAGTGTAGGAACAAGATTCAAGTCTCGACAATGAGTGTCGTCAATAATGTTTGATAACATGATTCATTCCTATTAGATTGTCTCAAAATGTTGATTGTCATCATTAATGTTGGATTATTAAATGTGTAAAACCCAATCTAATTTTGGATTTAAAATTATGAACAAGCTTTGGAGTCTTCTAACCCTGTAAAACAACCTTGGAATTTCTCTCTTCAAAATCTTCATTTCCATCTTCTATATATAAAAGATCCCTTCACTAAGCCTAGATATTTCGGACAACAAAGTATTCACATTTAAAGTTTATGCTAACCACATTGTTCTATGTAGAGTTGGATGTAAGTGTTGGCTGATAGGTGTCCTATAGTAAGAGGTGTAGTTACAAATCTCAAATAAGGAAGAACGTGTTGTTTCAACTCTAGTCGTGGAGGACTAGGTCCAAGAGAATGAAGTTTTGAATAGAAATTTGCACCTCATTACTACCTTGCTTCAAAGTGGTAGAATTGCTTCACAAATAATAAAAATCACTTTGCATATTGACGTTCCTTGCATGTGAACTTGACTGCCATACTTTAATAAGTTTGTGTCTACTTTAAGTCATTCTTTACTTCCTATTATTATAGATTTTTCCTTTATCCTTCATTACAATTCATTGAATACTCCCATAGGATTTTGATGACGACACCTTTTAAGGCTTATATACTCGTGATAAAATTATTCCATTACACAACTTCATTTGGAAAGACAGATATAGAACTTCCATTGAAGCCGCTATAGTCGCATTTTCCGTAACGCGCTTATTTGAACATCACGACTAAGCTTTCAGCGAAGACAAACGTGGAAAAAGAGCACGAAAGTAGCACACGGCCGAATCGTGCAACGTTCGTGTTTATAACCAAGTCAGTAATTACAGAAAATAAAAAGAAAATAATCCGTTATACAACCCTTCCTCTTTCTAAAACATTTCCCCTTCTCTCTCTCTTCGTTCTGCATAAGTTTTTCCCCGAACCCATCATGCTTTCTACACTGAGTCTACAGCTGACTGACTCACTTGTACAATTTACCATCTACGTTTTGCGGCTCAAAAAGCAGCCGATTTTGCCGTGAATTCTTTTGAAGCGACTTGGTTTATGGGGTTTTGGTGGTGATGATTTCTTTGGGTTTTTATTAGATGGATTGGACGGTGGAGTTTGAATCTGGACGAAGATTGGACAGTGTTCTGGCAGAAGGGGATGTGAGGTTATCGAAAGAGAGTCCTCTGGCAAAGAGAATTGAAGGATGGGGTTTGATTGGAAATGTGAAGAAGTTGGCTGAGACGGTGTTGGTGTTGGCGGCTATGGGGAAAATGAGGGTGGGGAGGGGGCCCACGGAGCTCGAGAATACCTTGATAACAGATGCTCTTTGCAGGATGGCGAAGGTACGTGAATGTTTTGCTCCGAAGGACATGTTCCCGCAAGATGCTTTTGGAGGTATGATTGAGGATTTGGGGCTAAATAAATTGAAAGAACAGTTGCTAGAATTTCGTCCTCCCAAAATATCAATTGCTGAAGAGTTGATGCTCTCTAAAAGACAGTTTTTTTAATTTTTTTCGTTTGATTTTTATTCGGAATTTTTGTTAGGCTACTCAGATTCTGTAAGATTATAATTGGCTAGTTATGGTGTTTATAATTGATAAAGAACAAGCTAAGAAAACTGGTTATGGGAGGGGGGGGGGGTACGAGACACTTTGTGGAATATGAATGTGGAGTTTTAATTTGGTACGTGGTTAGAGGGGAAGACTCTGAAATATCTTCTAGCTATCGGCCCTTTTCCGAAAAATCTGACTGTGCTTCCTTGGTCATGTATACATTAGGGGGTGAAGTGGGTGACCAATTGGAACCTGGAAAAGTCAGTAGATGCTATGGAACTTGACAAGTGTATTGTACAAAGTGTATAATGCTACAAGTACTTGTGAACTTCTGTTATTTTTTGAAAAGTACTCATAAATTTGTAAAGTTACAGTCTTTAAGTTTGATCATGCATTTTCATTGTTAAGAAAGGACTTCCTTCTTCGTATTTTGAATATGGCCAATAAATAAAGCCTCAATAGCCGTTTTGTTCATTTCCCATTGTTTTAGGAAAAAAACTCTGATAAACAGATATTGTTATTTTACATCCATATTCAACAGTCTCTCTCTCATTTTTTTATTTTTCTCTTTTTTCAAATTCCATTCTTTACATCTTTTCCATTTTCACCAGGCTTTTAGACTAGTTATTGTTTTCATGTTCCAACTTAAAATGGGGAATTCCATTTAATTATTCTGGTGGATTCTTTCTAAAGTTGATAGTACCATCAAGTGAAATCCAGTTCATTTGATTCAATTGTTTACTTCTTAGCAAGTGAAGTCTCAAGTTAAACCAAGCTGTTTTTAAAAATTTCTAGCACATGAATGAGAATTGTATGGTACCTTAGACGCATTATAACTTACGAACTAATGTTAAGTTCCAAGGCAGATATATCTTAGAAAAAATTAGCAAATCACACTTCATTGTGATTTATATTTTAGTTAGTGATGGGGGTCTATATGCAATCAAGAGCTAATATTGAAGGTTATACCTATAACAGAAATACTGTAACATTGGAATTTATAGAAAAAAGGTTTATGCCAATCGCTGTGGCCGTGTGATTATGATATTTGACAACACAAACATAAAGCTCTAATGAGTCTGATTATTGGCATGCATGGATACAACTTATAAGAAGATAGTTTACATTGTAGGTTCAATGCAAGGAGTATTGTTCTCAAGGGATACCGTTAAAAGTATTATATCCTCAAAGGTTCAGGTGACTGGAAGCAAAATGCCAACCAAATGAGAGAATATAAAACTGCCCTTTTTGCACACATGAGATTTTTTGAGCTTTATCGCATGAAACTGTAGCTATTTTGAAATGGTGAATTTTAATTTCTTAGTAAATTGTAAGTGGGTATCTGGTTCTCAAGAGGAGCTCTAGATTTTGGTGATCTTTGAACTATTTTTTTTTACTCCGTCTGCCATAGTTCCAGCTTTTCCAACGAGAACATGTTGAGTGGTGAATTATAGAATGTTACCTTTTACACGAAGATTTCTTTGACAAACTATTTAAGAGATTTCTACTTGTATTTTCAAAATTTATTGGAAGAACACATTAATAACCATTGTACTAAATCTCGGACTCACACACATTAACTAACAAACTGTAAAATCTGTGGCATGATAAGAACAAAAAATAATGAAATGGAGAATTCAAGATCGTCAGTTTGTTATAGGTTTATCTCTGTTATAAACCCTATCTTGGGTAACTTAAAAGGGCCTTGAAGGTGAGAAGACTGGTTTGATTACGAAAATGTGGTTCTAAGTAAATAAACTATTTGGACAAGACGATTGATAATGCAATCAGACATTTTACTTGTTTTCCAATGTTATTTCACCATGCTTGTGAAAGTTGTGCCATCTAGTCTCTCTATAAGATGGGCCATTGCACAATGTTTTTCATAAGGTTAACGTGCATTATTCATTTATTTGGGTGTTGTTGGGGTCATACTTTTTTTTTTTTTTTTTTTTTTTTTTTTTCCCTTTGGGTTTTTTTTTTTTTTTTTTTATGATTTTTTCACCTTGGTGTATGTTTCTGAACTTTGGAGTACTAATTTTGGGGCAGTGTTTTTAGATGCTACATTTTTTAATCTCTTACAGTTAAATTTGTTGATAGTATTAGTGGGTTTGGATGGTCATCTCCTTTGACATGTTTAATTTCGGTATGTTGCCTTGTGGAACAAAGTACATATGGTTTTTCGTCTTGCCTTTATAGCATCGACATTTTAACTAGGGTAACGTATCCGTATCTGACACGTATCGATACCGACACTCTTCCGTCACTCTACAATAATTATTATTCTTTCTTACTATAGCTATTATATATTTCTAACTCAAAATTATTAGTAAATAACAAATAAGTACTCATATTTAAAAAATTTCGGTAAGAAAATTCAATATTAAGTATAAAACTAAATTTAAACTACATAAATGGAGAATTTTAAAGAATTTAATGAACGTGTCAGCGACGTATCGTGTAGGTATTTTTTTGAAAAATCACGAGTCGACATATTCGATATGTGTCCGTGTCGGTGCATCATAGCGTGTTGCATTTGTTGCTTTTGTACTGCTTATTAGACTGTATATTGCGTGTTAAACTGATGTTTAGTCTTTTCTATTATTCCGTGTTTTAGATGGAAAAATTAGAGGATTTCTCTGCATCTTACTCCGCATTCATCTCGACACGCACAACTGAATTCTGGTGCAGCCATTAATATCCATGGTACGACGCATACTGCTCGAACATCTCACAAGCTCCTGCAAAATAAGAGACAGCCCCAGTTTGTCTATCCACTCACAAGCTCCTAGAGTTTGCCGAGCGATTAAGCAAGCCCGCCAAAGATATCTTTTGAAAACCATGTTATGCCTAGGGATTCCAAAGACTCTCATGGCGTAGAAACTTCCAATGGTAAATCAAGCCAACTAAATGGAAGAGAAGTTATACGAGGAAACCTTGCAGAAACTTTGATTGCCAGGGCTGGGAATGCAGAGCAGGGTAGGTCTCCACCAGATAATGCTGTTGATTGGGTTGAGGGTCCAATTCAAGTTTCAGATGAGAAAACCTCCTATAAATCTTGCTGCATCAATGGATGTGTCCATGAACTCCTGGATTATGTTCTTATTCGCTTTGACAATGACAAATTAATTCCTTTAAAACTTTGGGGGTGTTTGTGCCCATTATTTGTGTATAATGTATTACGGAATAGTAATTGATGTTGAAATGTGTAATTAAAAAAGAAGAATTTTTTTTTAATTTACATGTAATATTATTTTAATGAATAATGTGTAGTTGAAAATGAGTACTATAGAAAAAATAATGTGATAGAATGGTAGAGTATTTGGGAACCCTCAGAACTTGCTCCAACGGATTGAGATGGATTAAGTTCAGTGTGATTGCAGAGTACATTCAGTCAAATATAATATCTAGCAAAACCCTTTTTTTTTTTTTTTTTTTTTTTTTTTTTTTTTTTTCTTTTTGCCCTTTCTTGGAACACGTTGGAAGTGATTTCATTTTGAGAGGTCACAATAGGGGAAAAATTATATGGTTCTACAATTTAATGTGACTAATTTTGATTAGTTTCAAAACACTCACGAGAAGATTGAGATCTCAAAACCAGATGCTTACTGGTTTTGTATTTGGGATTGCGAATCTATAAGCTGGATTACAGGTTACCTGAACTCCATAAAAACTCATCTTACTATCCATCCCATGGGACTACAGTATAATGGTCATCTTGTTCTAGATACTTAAAACGTCATTTTACGAAAAGTTTCTTCTTGCATGTATCTTACCTTGACTATTTGTTGCTTGGACTCTCCATTTTGGAGGAAGTACGTACATGCGTCACCATGACAATGGTCTATCTCCAATCCTATAAATCAGAAGATGGTCCGTTGTATCGTTTTTGTTATTTTGGTTTTGGACATAAAATAATTTCCAATTAATTTATTATTATTATTTTAATTTACAGTCACATTTAATATACATATACCCTAAAAAATGAATTCTATTAAATTATAAGTTTGTAAGGCACATCCAGGATCACGTCTAATTTTTTTTTTTTTTATCCTTAGTTCATTCATATCTCTTGTGCAGATGGATTTATGACGAATCAAAAGGGCTATTTCATGACATTTCCTGTTAATTATGGGTTAACAAATACCATCATTGGAGCTCTCCAATCCATTGTAACACCCGTTGTTCAAATTTTGTTCAGGTACTTGATTCGTGGTTTTATTTGTGTCTGACAACCGGTCTTTACTGTAAAAGCATGGTTTATTTAAAAAAAAAAAAAATTTCCACATGCCAGCATACAATCATTAAGATAAGTAACTGACATGAACAAAAATTGTTGTAAATATCCTCATAGTTATGCGTTCTGTTAATTTACAAATAGGAAAATGAAAAATGGAAACGTGAATAAAAGAAACAATTTTCAGCCAAGGGTTTTTTTTTTTTTTTCAATTTTTACTTGAATATTTCATTTGCAGCCAATGTGTAAATGAATCATATTTGGTTTTTAGTTGCACTTTTTCTTCTGATTTGAGCAAAGTCTTATTAACCCGTTTCCGGGAACATGCTCTCTCCCCCATATTTAATTCGTCTCCCCCCATACACAGGCAGACAGAGATCATATTTCGACAATCCTAAGCAAAGACGCAGTTATGGTAAAACACGCAAACACACATTTGCTTCTTTTAGTTTAAACTAATTTTGTCATTGGAGTCCTACAGGAGACGAGGGATACTCTCCCAAGTTTGTCTGTGGTGATTGCAGTAGGAGTATATCAGCTACTTCTGGATTTCTAAAGCTTACTTTCTTCTTCAACTTCCGTTTTTCGTTTCTGCACAATGAGGTATTCTCCGACTGCCCTTTGTCGCTTTTCTCAATCTCTATAGGAGTCACCACAGGCAAACTTGTTCTAGAGTTAGGAACAAAATCTTCATGTTCTCCATCAAATGATGGATGGATTCTATTAGAAGATTGTTTAGATACATGTAAATCACCTCCACCGGTACTATTATTGAAACCTGGTGAAGATAAAATCCAATCCTCCAATGTTACTACCTTACAGATATTCTTCAAAAGCTGCTGCTGATTTTCCTGTCCATGAAACTGCTTTTTTCGTATTTTCATCGCAGTCCACAATCGTATTGGCTTCATGAATTTCATCAACGATCCTTTTAGACCGCTATAATGTAAATCACCTCCACTGTAATGGCCTCTGTTGAAACCTGGTGAGGATAACATCCTGTCCTGTAGAGTTACCACCTTACTTGTAGGCTGGATTTGATTATGCTGCACAGTATTGAAGTAGGATAAAATGGTTAAAAATTTGTTATCTTGGGCAGTGCTGTCTAGTACTGTATATTACACTTACCTTTTTCGTGTTCTTCGAAAGTAGCTCCTGCTGTTGATTTTCTTGTCGATGAAACTGCTTTTTGCTTATTTTCATGGCAGACCGTAAACGTTTTGCCTTTATGTCTATGAAGTTCATTACCAGTGGTTTTAGACTGCCATTTTTGTCATCAGCTCCATGTCTGGTCAATCTGTTGGGACTGGCTTGCCCAGAACCACAGAATTTTGCTTCCATTTCTACTTAAAAAAATAAAGATACCGAACTGATTATGTATTTAACTTTGAGAATCGAAGTAATTATAATTTATAAAGGATACTTTTGTGGGCTTTCCAACTGGACGAATTATCATAAGATTTTAAGCATTGGTAATATCGTCTAATCAATGAAGATGGCATTTACATCCAAACTGGATCCACATTTTGGATTTTCCCATGTTTTCTCCTCTATTAGTGATAACTTTGTTACCTAGTCGTTTTCATTTCATACAAGGATGTCTTGGAGTTTCTCGACATTGTCCTCATCCCAGCCAAAGCATGCGTTATAAAGATACTTGTTTCACAACCTCGATGTTTTAGCTAGCAACTTTTGCTAACGAGTAGGACTTGATATTGAATAGAAATTAATAAATGTACAAGGAAGAAAAGTTAAAAGAGTAATAATCCTCCCTTCTTTTAAAGCTTCCCTTGTGTTACGGGTAAAGGAAAGAACGGAAAAAATATCAATTTATTGAATAATTAACTAAGTAAAAATGAAAGTTTGATAATTCGATCATAGAGTTGCAAAATTCATTGATGATTTCGAGCAAAATAGAAAGTTTTTGCAGTAAAAAAACAAAGGAAAATCAGCAAACTAATAGTAATTGTTTATGTTGGGGGTGGGATTGAAGATGAAATTACTAAAAATGGCAAGGTTGGAAACCTTTTGCGCAATTTACCCAAGTATATCTCTATTGACTCGTTTGGTAAAGCGCGTTTTTCTTATGGTTTAAAGCATTTGTGCAGAAAATGGGCTTCATAAAATTGCTATAGACAATCAAATGGAGGTGAGCCCCATGTTATTAAAATATAGGGAAAATTAACATTTCAAGTGTATTGTTTACACAAATTCAAAAGCCAGGTCAATAGTATAAAAGTTCAAAATTCAAGTATGTGTATAATTAATTAAATATAATAAAATCACTGTTATAAAATTAATGGTAATAGATTCATAATTATCGATCACAGATTTATTCACTGGTCACATATCATCAAATTAATTGGTCACATATTATTTCGATGTCACAAATCAAAATTTTTGTAAGTCACAGATTTATTATTTGGTTACAGATCATTCAAATTATAAGTCACGTTTTATCTATGGGTCACATAGGTCACGATTTATTGGTCGCAATTTATTTTTTAGTCACAAACACCTAATTTTGGTCACAAATCAGCGAAATAGTTGATCACAGATTCCAAACACCCCCACTACACCGATCCCGATCCAACACCAATTTTGGCCACAAATCACCACCACTCAATCGACGCTAGCACCACACCACTATAACACCACACCCAATCTAGATCCCATTCCACCACAATACTTGGTCACAAACACTACCCACCCTTGCCAAACACCATCACAACTGCTGCCAACACCACCACCACATGAAACCACCATCGTACTAACGATTGGTAACGACTCAGCCCACACAGCACCACATCTGTCACCTGTGCTTGAAAGGCTGTCAATGTGGCATACACCAGAATAGACATCCACCACCGCTACAACATGGCACTCAAGCTACGCACAAAGCAACCCAAAATCGGGGCGAGAGATTTGAAAGAGTCGCTCATATCAAGGTCGGTGCCACCACTGTTAAGAGAGGAGATATTAGGAAGAAGAGGAGTGGCACCAAGAGAGGGAGAGAAGTGACTGTTGTGTGTGCGTGTGTTTAGACAGAGAAAGAGAGAAGCAAGTTAGGGTTTGGTATAAGTGGGGAAAATTTAATATTTTCAAAACCTGAAATCTGAATAAAAAACCTTCTGGTCTGACTTTTGCACTGTGATATTCAAATACCAGGAGTTCTGTAATTTCCACTTAAAATATTGTCCATAAGAACCATCCACCCCTCCTATTGTGTCAATTCTATAAGCTCATCCTCTGTACATATCGAATGCTTGTTTGTTTTTGTGTGTGTGTGTGTGTGTGTGTATATTTGAATACCGCTCTATATGCAAGGGATCATTTCTATGTGACGTGACAATATAAATAAGGTTGATTATAGTGGTAATTGGGTCAAATAGCCTATGTTATAATACACTCTGGGATTTTAGCCTTTTGACCAGAATAATGTTTTTAAAATAAATATATTAAATCATAATTTATAGACTACATAAAACACCCTTATTCAGCATCACTAAAAAACTTAATTCCCCATTTTCTTTTCTCAAATCAATTGAATTCCAGAATCCTAAATCTATCATCTTTGTTCTCTCTTCACAATCCACAACCCCCCTTATTTTTTCTTCGTGGCTTCTTCATCTCCAGATCCTTCTACCATTCAAAATTGATTTCCTTCGTCTTCTTGAGTGAAATGAGGAATTTGGTATGAAGGTTTCATCAATTTTTCCAAGATCGAAACTCGCAAAAAAAAGCACCCATACGTGAATAACCACTTCTAAGAACCAATTTCACAGTAGGCTATCCAGGTATGAATGATTCATCAAATTTTCATTTTTAATATGATTTTATACAAAAAAAATTTAGAAAAATTTGTGCCAGGAAGAATTATACCAATAGGGTGGGCTTTTTTAGAACTTTAAAGTTATTCATATTTTGGATGTTGTGATTAACTTTTGGAACTCAATTTTCTCCATATTTTTCATTATTGCTTTGAATTACACGAAAAATACTTAATAATTCAACTTTCTTCTTGTAATTGCAAATTTGAAAAAATGTTATTCCTTTGTTTATTCTTCATGATGTAGATATATAAGCAAATTGGGAAAAAATATGTAGTAGAGTGTTCTGAGTATGAGATATTGAACATATACATATGGGCTTATAAGTAAATAATGTAGGTGATTTTGAATTTGATTTATGTCTACATTTGTTGTAAATAGGACTTAATCCTATTTGAAGTTGCACAAGATTATTCATTTTCACCAAACCTAAACTTGTTTCTATGAAAAAATTACGTGATGAAATTTTGACAACAAGTAAATTATTGTTTTTTCCCAGAAAATGAAAAACCACAATTGTCTTATTCTTATGCTCTACTTATTGTTTGAGATATTTTTGCTTCTTGACTTAAAAAAAAAAAAAAAAAATTCTAGCAACATATGATTCTTTTTTATTCTAATTAGTGTTGAGCTAATAAGTGGAAATAAAGATGGCAATTTAATAGAAAGTGTTATCAAAAATTAGATATTTAAGTATTTGCTTGTTGAAAATATTTAAATGTCATGTTAGTTGCAATATTAGTGTAATGAAATAGACATTCTGTGATATCATTGAAGTCTTAGCAAATTGGTATTATTTTGCAATTTGTATCAAATGGAATATGGTAGAGTAATAAAATATCATGATTTTTTACTGTAACTAATATATGGTAATGTTTTGCATGTTTTTCCATGATGTAAATTGCATTTACTTGGTTGAGATTGAAATATTTGATATGTTAGTTGTTGAATTTTCTAGCTTGGCACCATGAAGTTTATCTAGTTCTGAAAATTGCATCCTGTTGTTTATGTAATTTTGAAAATGTCACCTATCTTTTTTCTATTTTTGAAAATGAATTGTATTACGTATCATTTAATATTACTGTAAATTTCTCATATTTGTTCATTGATTAATTAACACGATCATTTTGTGTCTTTTATTGTAGAAATGGAACACTCATTTTTGTATGTGATTCCTTTATTATAGAAATAGAACACTCATTTGAGTTTGTGATTCCCGCTGAAGATAAAATTAAAGGTAGACCTTAAAAAATACGCTCCCTTGAAAGACTTACTATATTTAAGAAATGTTAGATGATGTTTGGGGGAGAAAAGCTTTTGGTCGCACAATTGAATGATGAGCAGAGATAAGCAATGGATACATCAGTAGGTAGCTGGCAGTTATGTCTTGTCGACCGATGAGATTGTGGAATATACACTATCAACTTTATAGAACTTTTGTCGGTCGGATTAGACGTAAAACTTATATTCGATGATAAGATTGAATAATTGTTTTCTTTGTATATTTTTCAATTTTATGTGATCGGATGATATAGGACTTGGTTGCTAATTTTGTTTAGATGGTAGTGTTTTGATTAGCTGTTTACTTTTGCTGTAATGAAATAAGAGCATTTTGAAATTTTGATTCATTCATTCACTAAACCCTTTGAAGGGTTTGTATTTAATGGTACAAGCATTAGCTTAATTTCCTAAAAACAAGGTCCATGCTAATTTTGGCATTTGTTTTGAGAAATTTACATGGTCATTTTTCTTTCTTTTGTCCTTATTTGAGAATTTACTTCTGCAGGAGTATGCATTTAGTCAGTACATAGTTGGCAGTTATCTCTTGCAATTGGTATATTCTGATGACTAGATGTATTCGGTACTAGGTGCTTTAGTAGTAGCTCGTGCAAAGTTTAAACGAGAATAACTTGAATATGTTTCTTTAGAACTATTTTGTTTCATCTTATCTTATCTATGATAGGTAGTGTTGCTATTTTTAAGAGTATTTTGTCACGTCAAATTTTAGTCTTAGGAATGCGGAAGTGATTGAAACAATAAGCATATCAGTGGAAATTTTCATTTATATTTACAGTTTGACCAACATATCTATGATAATGTATTTTGGTGGAATATATTTCGCTTTCAATGGCCGAGTTAACATAATTGTTTTCTTTGTATATTTTTCAATTTTATGTAGTCGAAGGATATAGGACTTAGATGCTAATTTTATCTAGCTATGAGCGTTTTGTATGATTTGGTTGGAAAATAAGTGCATGAATGCTGATTTTGTTTAGTTAGTATTGATTTTTATGATTGATTACAGAACATGTGTATGGATGTTGACTAGTGTAGCTATGAAATTTTGCAATGATTTCCATTGAATGAATGTTTTATTCAAACATTAAGTAGTAGGGTTGAAATAGAGTTGCAGTTTTTATGATAGCTTATATATTTACGCAATGGAAAAACAAATTGTATTATTAACTATGCAAATTTATCTAGTATGGAAAATGACAGTTATACATTTAAAATGACAACATGCTATTTTGGATCACGAGGTCTCAATCTCACTAAGAAACAAGTATTGGAATGACATGTGGTATTGGGTAACAAGATCTCAATTTCACTTGATCATATTGAATGATTAC